AAAATACCAGTTCAAAGTTTTAAAATACCAGCTCAAAGTTCAAAATACCAGTTCAAAGTTTAAAATACCAGTTCAAAGTTTAAAATACCAGTTCAAAGTTTAAAATACCAGTTCAAAGTTCAAAATACCAACTCAAATTTTTAAAATACCAGTTCAAAGTTTTAAAATACCAGCTCAACGTTCAAAATACCAGTTCAAAGTTTTAAAATACCAGCTCAAAGTTCAAAATACCAACTCAAAGTTTAAAATACCAACTCAAAGTTTAAAATACCAGCTCAAAGTTCAAAATACCAACTCAAAGTTTAAAATACCAACTCAAATTTTTAAAATACCAACTCAAAGTTTAAAATACCAACTCAAAGTTTAAAATACCAGCTCAAAGTTTAAAATACCAGTTCAAAGTTTAAAATACCAGTTCAAAGTTTAAAATACCAGCTCAAAGTTCAAAGTACCAACTCAAAGTTTAAAATACCAGCTCAAAGTTCAAAATACCAGTTCAAAGTTTAAAATACCAGTTCAAAGTTTTAAAATACCAGCTCAAAGTTCAAAATACCACCTCAAAGTTTTAAAATACCAGCTCAAAGTTTAAAATACCAGTTCAAAGTTTAAAATCAATCAACCTTTATTTCTACAGGTAAATCCCATTGAGCCTCGAGGACTCATTTACAAGAGAGACCTGATTTCAACAAAGAAAGATGACAACAATGGACAACAGCAACAACAATAAACAGTTATAAAAACTCATACTACAGTTTTTTTTTTGTTGTTGTTTTTTTAACAAATAGGATGGCTAAAAGGAAAAAAAGGTAACAAAAACAAAAAACAGCTAGATTCCAAGACAAATGTAGAAAACTAAAAACAGGAACATGTCTGCATTGGTCCTTGCCAGGAGTTCAACAGATTCTTAAAGCCACTTAGAGAGGTCAAAGGTCGAGAGCAAAATACCAACTCAAAGTTTAAAATACCAGCTCAAAGTTTAAAATACCAGTTCAAAGTTTAAAATACCAGCTCAAAGTTTAAAATACCAGTTCAAAGTTTAAAATACCAGCTCAAAGTTTAAAATACCAGTTCAAAGTTTAAAATACCAGCTCAAAGTTTAAAATACCAACTCAAAGTTTAAAATACCAGCTCAAAGTTTGGACTTGAAATCCATTTCTTCCTGACCTGAATAGATTAAATCCGTTTCCCTGAAATCCCTGAAGATTTATGAAACTTCTAACAGAAGATCTACAGACTCGAGGCGTTTCAGTGGACGGATGATTCATAATAAACACAAGAACAGATCGTCTCCTCGTCTGGAGTTATGAGGGTGAAGGAGGAGCTGAAAGGAGGAGCAGAAAGGAGGAGCTGAAAGGAGGAGGTGAAAGGAGGTGTTGGGACTCACAGTCTGGTCCTGAATGTTTCCTTTGCAGAGAACAATCTTCAGACCGTCAGGCGTGACCTGCTCCATCCTTCCTGACCTGAAACCAACCAGAGCAGGGCTGACGTCAGTCGGTTCAACAGAACCTCCGCCAACGTTTCTGAGCTTGTTACTCAAGTTCGTCGAGAAGAACAGAACTATTTTATTTTTAGCAGAACTGTGATCAAATGAAAAACAGAAGAAGAAAAACCAGCAGACCATGAAGGAGACACCATCAGATCTTACCCTCCATACTCTCCACGCTGGTTGGGTCCCCTCTGCCCTCCTCTGTTAGTCTGAAAGTTTCCTGGAAATCTTCCTCCTCTTCCTGCTCCTTCAGCTCCTCTTCCTGCTCCTGCAGCTCCTCTTCCTACTCCTGCAGCTCCTCTTCCTACTCCTTCAGCTCCTCTTCCTGCTCCTGCAGCTCCTCTTCCTGCTCCTGCAGCTCCTCTTACGTCAAACCGGTGTCCTCTGTGGGACTGACTCTGACCGAGACCTTTCCCTCGACCCTTCTGATGTCCACTAGGAGGCAGCAGTACAGGTCAGGTACAGTCTGATTGATCTACGACTGATTATCTAACTGATCAGATGAGAAATGATCTTTTCAATGCGATCAATATGTTATTAAACTTACCCTGCAGCTCCTTTGTTCTTCCTGCTCGTCTGCTGTGGGACCGTCATGATCGGACCGAGGTCGGTGAACTCTGCCTTGACAGCTGCCGCCATGATTCGGACGGTGCCATCGTTGTTGTCGACGAGGTGAACCTCGGTTAGCGAGCCCGGGCCTTGTGGACCGTCACAGTACTCTCGTACTGCACGGGCTATGGTCTCAGCGCAGAGAGGAACAGGAAACCCGAACACGCCTGAGCTGATGGCTGGCAGGGCGATGCTGGAGCAGTTGTTCACCTCGGCTTGTCTCAGGCTTTCTTTAACCGCAGACTTTAGATGTGACACTGATGTATTTTTGTCGCTGTCAGAGTACCGTGGACCGACCGCATGGACCACGTACTTGCAGGGCAGATTGCATGCATTGGTTGTGATGGCATCACCTGGGCATAGGTTGCCATTTTTAGCAACATAGTCATTGCTGATCTCCTGCAGCTGTGGTCCTGCAGCCCTGAGCAGAGCCAGAGCCAAGCCGCCGATGTGCTGCAGCTCCTCGTTAGCTGCGTTCACCACAGCATCGACGTTAAAGCTGCAGATATCTGCCTTACTGACGCAAACAAGAACACCGGATGTCTGCACTTTGCAGTAGCACTGGCTGGCCTCATCATCATAGTCCTCCTCCTCTTCTTCTTGAATCTCAGACTGAAGCATCACCACGCAGCTTAAGTCGGACAATATTGAGTTCAGAATGTAGCTTCCTTGGGACTGGAAATACTTCTTAGCTCCAGGTTTGTCCACAGTTAAGGTGTCAGCAGAGAGAGCTGCTACCAGCTCCTGAAAACTGGACTTAGCTTTCTGGACGTGAAGACGAGCCCCGCTGAGGACGATCTTCGGTCTTTCTGGATCAAAGAGGACTGACACGTCATTATCTTTGGAAATTCTCAACCAAAGTTGTGTTTGCTTCTTCTCAACAAACTGAACCACAGCACAGGACTTGACCCGAACGGTTTCTTGTACTTGTGAGTAGTTTCCGATGAACTCCTTCAGACTGCGGCTGACCTCGTTCACTGGAATCACAAAGCCGGCCACCGTTACTCTGGCTCCTCTCTCTGGCTGCATCCAGATGTTCACTGTTTTCTTGTCTGAGCAGTTGTAGGTATCTAGCAGCTTTTTGTTTAGGTCCACCCAGCTCTGAAGGTTCATAACCTTCTGGTCTTCCACACTGAAGGTCTCCACTAATAATGCTGCCTTCATCTTAGCGTCTGCATCGCTAAGGGCTTGGTCAGAACTCCCCAGCAGGGTGAGCCCTTTGGTGTCAACAGAGTAGATGGCACTGATGCCCTGAGACGTGAACAGTTTCTCTGACATGTCCTTGGGATCCATTGTCCTCAGGTATTCTACAAGGCCTTGATGGACATTCAGCTTTCTAGTCTTTAGATTTGCGATCCTTTCTAAGATCCATGCTTTGGTTTTGTACACTTCTTCAGGGAGTCCTTTGATGGTCAACCTCTCTGTTCGTTCATCGTATGACAGGTTCAGCTCAGAGGAGATGTCTGAGGCAGCTTTCAACAGCCCTTCCTGCTTCAGGATGTAGATCCTTGCAGGAGGGATAATCATCACCTCGGAGACACCTTTGGTCTGCCGCTCGATGAGGCCTTTTGCTTTGAGAACGATGTTCTCCACAGGGGCCCTGATTTTCTTCATATCATTGGCTCGACCAGCGACAATTAGAACCTCTCTGGATGCATCAAAAACTGGGACGGCATCTTGGTTCACAACCGAACGGACCTCTTTCTCCGCAGCTTTCCATGCGTCAATGTTCACGTCGCACTCGAAGGCCGAGTACTGAGACATCAGGTGACGGAAAGCCTCCAGGGCACTCTGCTTCCAAGTACCTACAATCTGAGCTGTCAGACCGTTCTGCCTCAAAAAGCTGGGCAGTGGGCGGAGCTTCACTTCAGGGTCATCCAGCTCTATGCTGCAGAAGTGCGGACGCATCTGATCGTTGAGGCTTTTCAACAGTTTCTTCCTCAGGAGGAATTTCCAGATGGCGTGGTGAACCTTCTCCGTGAAGGCTTCGGGCATCTTCCACGCAGGGCGCTCTTTACCGTATAAGGCGGTTCCCAGGGACTCGTAGTATGGGTACACCTTGACAGGGATGGACCGCATCACGTGATCTTCTTTCACACAAATACTTTCCACAACTGGAGAAAAAGAAGAAACAGGAAGCTGAAGGTGAGTGGAGCTGCAGGGATTTTAGACCCAAGTGGTTCTGATTCAGTTTTTTATGTGAAGAACTCGGTCAGTCGGTCCATTCAACAGATTTACGATCAACGGCGTCTCATCTAAAGCCAGTATCTGACTGGGCTGCGACTGTCAAAGACCTGTTTTCACGTGTGCCGCTTGTAAAACTATTGTTGGGTGTGCACATTGATGACAGCTGCCCCACATTTCTAATTACTCTGGAACTGCAGACAGGCAGACCTGTTCCAGTTCTTAAAATAACTGTTTGGTTTTTACGCCTGGAGGTTTGGGGCTGCAGCCTCAGATGTTTCCTGCCAGAGGAGACCTCCTGCCAGAGGAAACCTCATGTCAGAGGAGACCTCCTGTCAGAGGAGACCTCCTGCCAGAGGAGACCTCATGTCAGAGGAGACTTCCTGCCAGAGGAAACCTCCTGTCAGAGGAGACCTCCTGCCAGAGGAGAC